CCAAGAAAGAACCAGATGCTTTAACTTTTTCTTTACATTAATAAAATTAATAACTACTTTGTGTTGATGTAAGATGTCCGCCCTGAAGTAGTCGCTGACGTAGTTGCTAAGGGAGACGTCGTGTTGAGTGGTGAAAACCATGTGGAGTCAAGATGCTGAGCTGGAGTCGTGTAGACTTGAAGAGGAAGAGTGTATCTTGGAGAAAAGGCAATAGGAATAAACTTGAGGAGCAAGTTTATGAATTAAATGAAAGAGGAATAAGTGCATTCCAAGAAAAGGAAAGTTGCACTTAATGTTATGGAAGACGTCCATATTGTGTTCCTTGGAGACTAGGGTTTCGGGAACGTGGAGAATAAATATAAGATAGCAATGGGGTCGTCTGTAGAGAGACAGAGACACGGAGGCTGATCTTATAGAGAGAGAGAAGCTCTTAAGGTGTTCTTGGGTCATGCTGAAGCAGAGGCTGAAGTACTTGACGGCAGAGAGACATAAGTGAGTAGCTCAGGAATATTTCAGTGACGTGTGTTAGGGTGTTAACACTAGACGTGTAAAGCTGATAAAGTAGATCTTGTAATAGAATGTACAAGGCGATTTCTAATAAAGCTATTGGTGTTTTGTCTCTTGATTAATCTTCTGCATTACCTTATTGTGGTGTCATCTTTACACTTACAAGTGGTATCAGAGCGGGGCACCTAAGTTATCGGTGTAATCCTGAAGGTGAAGATGGACACGATTGTTACTATGCAGAAGTCAATCATGTTGAATGCGGACCAGTATGGTCATTGGAAGGCACGCATAAAGCAAATGATTCGAGGAATCAATGAAGATGCGTGGACAGCTGTAGAGATTGGTTGGGAGGAGCCTACCATAGTCACAGGAGATGAGAAGAAGCCCAAGCCAAAAGAAGATTGGTCAGAGGCAGAGCGCAATGCATCAAAATTTAATGCAAATGCATTGTCGGTGATTTTTGGAGCTGTTGAAGCAGAACAGTTTCAGCTGATTCAGGGGAGTACTTCAGCTAAAGAGGCGTGGGAGATCCTCCTGAATTCGTTTTACGGAGATGAGAGTGTCAAGAGGACACGCCTAGACCATCTTGGGTCGCAGTTTGAGAATCTCAGATGGTGTGATGTTGATATTGTGGCGAGTTTTAGTGCCAAACTCAGTGCTATGGCGCATGAAGCATTTGTACTTGGGAAGAAGTACAAGGAGAAGAAGCTGGTACAGAAGTTACTACGCTGTCTTCCAAAGAAGTTTGAAGCTCACAAGGCAGTCTTGCAGATGACTACAAACACGGATGAGCTCAAGTTTGATAAGCTTATGGGTATGCTGAAGGCACAAGAGATGGGGACAGACAGTAGTTCAGTCTCTAAGTCAAGCAGTGCGCCAGGGAGTATAGTGCTTGCTGCTGACAAAGATGGTGATAGATTCCAGAAGCTTGAAGACATTGTGGGTATGTTGGCTAGGAATTTTGGTAGGAAGATTCACTCTGGTGGCAGAAACCAGTCTGATCGTCAAGGAGGTGATTGTGGAAATGGTAGAAGAAGAGACTCTATCAAGTGCTACTAGTGTGAAGGAGTTGGTCATGTGAGGGCTGACTGTTCAATGGCACAACGAAAGGAACTTAAGTGTTCTGAGTGCAGAGGTGTTAGACACACAAGGCGTGAATGTCCAAACTCAAAGAAGGGAAAAGAAGCTCAGTCGTCTGATGATTTAGAGTCTGAAGAAGATGATAAGGTGATGAAGAATATGGTTGCATTTGGTGCACACAAAGAGAGAGCTAGTAAATCCTCGGTTTCAGATCGCAGTACAGATGATGAGGAGTATCACGTGCTGTTCAACAAGTGGTTGAAGCTCAAGGATGAGAATCTGAGATGGGAGAGTGTGGCTCAGAAGCAAAACAAATTACTTGAAGAAATTTCGGCTGTAGAAGAGAAGAATGAGTCTCTTGAAGAGGAAGTTAGCAAGCTGAGAAGAGTTGCTACTGGTGAACAAGAGAGAGCAAGGAATCTGGAACGTGATTTGGCTGAAAATCACAAACAGATCAGAATGCTCAATAGTGGATCCAAGGAGTTGGATAAGATACTCTCAATGGGACAACCAGCCAAGGCGAATTGGAGACTGGGATACCAAGGAGCTGAGAGTACTGACGTACAACAGAAAGGGCGATCACAGTTCGTGCAAGGGAGCATTTCAAAAAGTGAAGCCAAAGATGTTCGTCAGGAAGCACGTCGGGACGTACGACAAGGAGTACGGTAGGAAGTTCTACAGCGCGTGGCTGTGAAAAACAAGCCAAAAGTGGTACATCAATGCAGCAACATGAAGGTTAGACATGAGGTTCTGAATCATGGTTGTGCATTTGATACAAGGAAGGAGACTGATCGGTGCATCAGCAACTGTGTCAGGTCCAAGAAAAAGCAACATAGGATGTGATGTTGGTTCTGTGGGAAGATTAGACACAAGAAGGTGGAGTGTTTTGCTCGTGAGAAGAGCAGAAACATGGCCAAGAAGGTGAACAAGACGTTCATGAAACCCAAGAAGGTTGAAGAGGTGTTCTTAGCCAAGAGTGGCTTACTTGATGAGGTCAAGAAATGGACATCAGAAGAAGGGTGCAGCTCTAGTGAGGGTGATCTTGAGGTTGATCAAAAAGCATCAAGTGTGGAGCCAGGACACGGAGTTGTTTGTGGTTCAAAGGGGAAGGAGATCAAAGTGCGTTAGGAAGTGATGCGAGATGATCTTCAAGAGGGTGATAGTGAAATCACTCCAAGACAATAACAACGAGTGCAGAGAGCACTCGGTGTGGATGAGGAGGGGCTCATGGTCAAGGAGACGGCGCATGAAGGAAGCCAAGTCCTCAATAAAAGTGGGTCGAAAGGTAGTTCGACAGGTGCGTCAGATCATGATGCAGTACTTATAATCTATTCCGCTGCAGCAGGGGTTGTATCATGATTACTGTGATGGAAAGCTTGACATCTAAGCATCTGTGTTTTAGCTTAGTATGCAATCAAGCAGGGGGAGAAGTGGTGACGTTCTGGTCCAAAGAGTGCATATCTCATGGGGGAGAAGAGCATGGTGATGGACGTCCTGAAGTAGATGGTGCTTATCTCATGGGGGAGAAAAGCATGATGTGGTGCACATCTCGTGGGGGACAAAAAGCACATTTGGTATGGAAAGTTCCAAGTGAGGAACGTGGTTGTTGAACCAGAAGGATGTTGTGCTTGATCGGCACACAAAGCTAAAAGGGGGAGATTGTTGATGTAAGATGTCCGCCCTGAAGTAGTTGCTGAGGCAGACAGCGTGTTGAGTGGTGAAAACCATGTGGAGTCAAGATGCTGAGCTGGAGTCGTGTAGACTTGGAGAGGAAGGGTGTATCTTGGAGAAAATGCAAGAGGAATAAACTTGAGGAGCAAGTTTATGACTTAAATGAAAGAGGAAGAAGTGCATTCCAAGAAAAGGAAAGTTGCACTTAATGTTATGGAAGATGTCCATATTGTGTTTCTTGGAGACTAGGGTTTCGAGAACGTGTAGAATAAGTATAAGTAGCAATGGGGTCGTTTGTAGAGAGACAGAGACACGGAGGCTGATCTTATAGAGAGAGAGAAGCTGTTAAGGTGTTCTGGGGTCGTGCTGAAACAGAGGCTGGAGTACTTGACGACAGAGAGATATAAGTGAGTAGCTTAGGAATCTTTCAGTGACGTGTGTTAGGGTGTTAACACTAGACGTGTAAAGCTGATTAAGCAGATCTTTGTAATAGAGTGTACAAGGCGATTTCTAATAAAGCTAGTGTTTTGTCTCTTGATTTATCTTCTGCATTACATTGTGGTGTCATCTTTACACTTACACTTTAGACTCCATTTTGTTTGATTTTCTGTTGACCTAAGAAGACCGGTTATTATTGAAATACTTCAGAGGGGATATTCGGTTAGAATATCCATTTCACTGGCGAAGCACAAAATAGAGTCAATAATGTGCATCCAGTTCGCTTGTTCGATTAGCAATCATACGTCTCTGCTTAGGCAAGTTACCGGGTGAAACCAATTCCCAAGTCTTTTATGATTCTGATCTTTCGTTACTCGTGTATGGTAATCCTAATGTTTGCGCCTTCTTTATCTTAATGTGTCGTCCCAAAAAAAATTAATAAGCGTGTTAATAATAAACACACTTAACCAATCCGGATTGGTCTCTTTTTTTTTAATGCAAGGAAGATTGGGTGATATATTAAATGTAAGGAAGATTTAGTGTACCTTCTGTACGGATAAATATAGCATTTACCATTCACCTTGGTTGAAGCATAGGAGAGACATAAATAGTATGGGAGACTGGAGACACATAGCACGTCAATCAGCTGAATTATCGCGTCCACCAGTTTCACTGAGTACAAATATATTGCCTGAAAGAGTTGATATTGTCTCTATGAAAGGGCAGCCAGTTCTTCAAATTTTGATAAAAGTTAAATACAATGGAAGCCAATATGATGGACCAATTTAGGGCTTAATCCTGGTACACCATTTAAAAAAGAAAAATTCCAGTCAATGTATTTTGCAGTCAATGAATCGTTAGGCGAGGTACAAGAGTATTGATAATTAAATATAATTACTGCTTTGGATAGTAGCATATACTGGAATCAGTCACATGGTTTCTACTCCATTTCTCGAGGATTTTGGTTTCCCACTTTGGATATTCATATACTTCTAAAAGTTTCTCGCGTTATACGCGGGAGAATATTGTAATAATAGGACATAACTTTTTTGGTCAAGAAATAGGGACATTATACTTTATAGCATAATCCCATCGATTATTGCATGCATGTAAGCACAAGGAAACAGCGAAGGAAGTACATTTATATATATACTATTTATTTAACAACCAAATTTTAAGATCCTCGCGTATAACGTGGCCGGAGATTATTGTAATTAATGTAGGGATGTTATTTTGAATAGCAAAGTCAATGTACCGAGTATAAATAAATTGTCATGCATGTATACTTACACAAACACAAAAATATAAATCTATCTACTGAGGATCGAGAGCTAGTTAGTATACATGGCGATATCCCAACCCCAGCCTTTGCTTCTTCCTCTCCTTGTGTCACTCTTTTTCTTGCCTACTGCTTTGGGCGCAACCGATTTCCATAACTGCAATCGTAAGTAGCAGAGTTTTTATTTTTTACTTTCTGAAAAAGAAAAATAAAGTTACTTTGGTAATCTCTGTAATATACTGGTATCCTTTTTTCTTGTAGCCTTGCGTAAGTATCCCGTTAAAGTCAAGACTGTGGAGATATCTCCAGACCCGGTTAAGATTAACACTAATGGAAACATTACGATAACCGGTTCTACAAGTAAATAATTCCCCTTTTGGTTTCTTGATGATTTTCAAGTTCACTCTTCCAGTATTGTCTTCTTGATTAATAATTCTTGGTGCGCAGGCATAGACATCCCTGATGGAGCAACTGTAAATCTCAACCTTAGGAGATATGATGTTCTTATCTCTAATAGAAGCTACTCCTTATGTGATATAGTGGCGTGCCCTGTTGCATCTGGCCCCATTGTGGTTAATTTTTTTAACGTATTCACTCAGCGAGAACTAACACCAGTAAGTTATTCTTTACATGAACAAATAGTCCGGAGATTTATTCTATAATCGCTGCATTTCAGATCGATTTTATGATGACCTAACGAGACCGCTTTTTTTTTTATTGAAATACTTTAGTGGGGATATTTTGTTTCAATAAGCATCACCGCGGAGCACCAGGAAGACCCAATGATGTGCGTCTCGTTCACATGTAGGATTACAAGTGAACAAACGTCTCTGCTTTAGGCAAGCTACCGCGTAAAACTATGTTCCATGTCTTTTATATATGAGTCTGATCTATTAAGCTTGTATGGACGGTAATCCTAATGTTTGTATCTTTTATTAACATTTATGTGTGTCGTCCCAAATAAAAAAAAAAATTTTTTTAATAAACACAGTTAAACGATTTGAATTTGTCTACGTTTTTAATCTGCAGTTCAAGCACCTCAAAATTTTAAAAACGTTAATTGTTTTTCCCCATTGGAACCTATGCTGACATCAGTGGTGGATGTAGGATTTTATTTTGTTGGAGGCAAATCAAATACAAACATAGAAAATAAGGTTAAAGTATGATTTTAGTAGGGGGTAAATTAAATATAAACATAGAAAATAAGGCTTAAATTCCTACATACGTTATAAAGAATTCGAAATTTTCATAGGGGCAAGTGCCACCAGTTTGGTTCATCTACATCTGCCACTGGCTGACATATTAAATGTAAGATAAATTTGGTGTACTCTGTACCGATAAATAAAGTTGTGCGACTATGCGACCTTTATTTTTTTTTAAAAAGATGAGGACCTTTTGTTGGTAGGATCAATGTAGTAGATTTAGCACTCCGAACCATAAGCAAGATCACGAAAATTTCCGGAGACAATTAACAAATCATATGAACTTATTTTTCATGCACGAGTCTCAATAATTACAAATCTATTGCCTAGGGTAAATTTGATAGAGGATATTACTTTATAACAAATTTTGTAATAAACTGATTATTGTATGCATGTAAGCATAACGCGTGCCAAAATTTCGCGGTATAACGTGTGAATCGTACAATTAAAAATGTGAGGAGTATAAAATCTCGGTGAGAAAACTCTCCCAGATACACTTTGGGAGGTTAGAGTTGACCAACAAATTTTAGCTTGAAAGTGACCACTCACTTTTTTTGCCAAGAACGAAAAGCTTCCACTGGTTATTTTTTTGCATCTCTTTGGAAGTCCTATTCTTTTCCCTAAAGAAGATGCCTCCAAAAAATATTTTCTTCGCTTCATCTTTTTGAAGCTGCAACATCTGAAGATTTTTACCTTTGCACAACTCCAGCTTCCCCTTCGCATCATACTTACGAAACAAGTTACCTTTTTTCAAGCCTTAACTACGATCTCTTACTCCTCTAAGCTGTTTCTACAACTCCCTCACACACTTTTTTCAAGTTGTTTAAGTTAGGAGTCGACTAAGTAGGAGAATGCAGCAAACGCTTGTAGATCTTCTTCACCGTGAAGGTGGAAGAGATGGCACCAAGGTTTACTAAAGCAGAAAAAAAGAAAAAAACACATGGTGGAATCCCAGGGAAACAATATCAAGAGAATCAGGGCCCTAAACCTTGACACTTCAGCTCTCATTCATGACAATGTCCTTACTCTTATAGGGAGAACCACTAACACACAGGAGCAGAGGATCTCAGCTCTTATTCCATCACTCCCTCGTAAATGGAATCTGCAAGGAAGAGCTGTATGCTCAAATCTGGGAAACAACTGTTTTCAGTATCGTTTTAAGAGGGAAGATGACCTCTTAAGGATGTTAGAAAATATACCATACCATTTTGCCTTCTGGATGGTTATCTTGCAGAGGTGGGAACCGGTTATCTCCCCCTCTTTCCCGTCTCAGATTCCTTTCTGGGTAAAAATCATGGGCCTACCGCTCCACTACTAGCATGAGGAAATGGTATGTAGGGTGGGTTAAGAGCTAGGCACGCTGGACAATCATGAGTTAACAAGAACAACAGCTCGGGTTAGAGTCTCTGTTGATGGACTAAAACCTCTTATAAAGGAGTCTATTGTGGAATTTGACTCTGAGGAAGAAAGCAATATTACCTTGGAGTATGAGAGACTTGAGATGCATTGCTCTTACTGCTATTCACTACTCCACCTAAGGAAGAACTGTACACTCAAATTGGAAGAATAATCAACCAGAGCTGAGGCTCTAAAGGGTATGGATGCAGGGATCTCAGGCACTAAAAGAATCTCCCAAGGAAACAATACGGAAATTTATCTCCTTATCGAGAGGTTACGGCACCTAGCCTACAAACAACAAGAAGCAAAAACCACCATCAGGTTGTGCCTGTTGGCAATAGTAATGGTAGTACAGATCGGCAATCTTTCCACCAAAGAGTTGAAAGGCATGGAAATACCTTCGGGGACCGCGTGAGTACGAGACAGACCCGTAATCCACCACCAGCAAGGTCTGCAGAGGCTACAGAAAATCCTGGTCTGACCTAGAAAAACAAAGCAACTTTTGAAAGGTCCCTCAATTATGAGTCTCCACCGTATTCCAGAAAAAGAGAATTTACTAGTCGAGACTCTCAAGGAGGCAGAGATCTTTTCCCTCCGAGAAACATGACCCAATGGAGACCAAGGCAAAGGACATATCAAGAGAAAATACCTAATAATGCCTTGGAACAAAGCAACAATGCTACAAGTGTTAGAGAGCGTACATCTGAAGGTCCCACAGGGACAATGGGGAATCAAAATCTTACCCGTGAGGCTGTTATGGAAGACTTGCAGAAGGTTACTTCGATACCTGAATCACCCAGACCCAACAGAAGCTGTGGCTCGAAGACAGAGAGTTCTATACAGTGATACAACTGGTCTTATGGAAAGTACTGCTTCAGGGATTTTGGCAGCAGCTTGAGAGCAAACCACTTTGGATGGGCAGATTACAATATCTGAGGATAACCTTATCACTCCTCCACCAAGGCAGAACTATTCAGTCAATGACCTGCTTTTTCCGGATCAGCCAGTACTGATTAGCCATAAGCTTGGGGAAATCGCAGAAGATGAAGGACTGGACCCGTACTGTAGTGACGTATCTCCTCCTGTCAAGAAAAATTCTCTCAGGAGAGAGGAAGTGCCAAGCAGAATCAGATCAGTTATCATCAGTCCTTCGACTGAAAGACCAGAGGCGCAACCTATTTCAGAGAATCCCAGGTAGTTACCTAATGAAGATGAAACCCTTTTGGACTTCCAAAATAAAGTCACAAGAAGACTGTCATCCAGAGTCTCAAGGAAGAAACAATCAAGGGAGAGCCCAAACATCCTAAGAGGACAAGCTCCAGAAAGAGGAACTTGGCGCAACTGCAGAACTCACCAAAAACAGTGACTGATACTTCTTATTCAAGAGCAGTTAGAAATGCAAAAGAAGCTCAAAAAAGTAATGATGTAGCAGGAACATCTAATACCTCAGCTAATCCTCCGATCCAATTAATACCAGCTATGGCAAGGAAGAAGCCGGGTTTTCAGTCTCATCCTTCCCAAGCTCCTTAGGCATTCTGAGCTGGAACTGTTGTGGGTTGGGGAACCCCATAACAGTCCAGCACCTAAGGGAGGTCCAACGGAAGAGAGACCCAGATATCGTCTTCCTCATGGAGACAAAAATTCTCAGCGAGATGGTGAGAAAAGAACTCCACTGGCTCCAGTCAAATCACTCCTTTGCGGTGGAACCCCATAGTCCGAGAGGAGGAGGATTGTTCCTATCCTTGAAAAAAGATATCCAAGTAGTGGTTAACTCATCAGCAAACAACTGCATTGACACTACTATCTTCTACAAAGGAAATTCGTTCCATACAACTGTTGTCTACGGTGAACCAGACCATACGAAATGATATCAAGTATGGACCATATTATCTATTCTACACCCATCTACAGGTGGTCCATGGTTCCTTACAGGAGACTTTAATGACATGATTGATAATAGTGAAAAGTGTGGAATTCTATTTTCTTGGAGAGGAAAAATGCATACTCATCTGGTATTATGTCGTCTTGATCGAGCAATGTGAAACAGCGAGTGGATGGATCTCTTCCCTTCTTGTAGAAGCCAATATCTCAAGTTTGAGGGGCCTGATCACCGGCATCTAATCTCTTTCCTAGATACTTCAAAGAACAAAGGAGCAAAAATATTCCACTTTGATGGACGTTTAAATGATAATCTGGAGGTGAAAGATATTGTCAGAGAAGTTTGGAATAATTTTGTTCACCTATCAGTGGAGGAGAGACTTTCTGCCTATCGCCATGCTATCTGCAAATGGATATAGCGATGTCTGAAGTACTACCTGATGAAATGCTGATTCATGAACTCAATCTTACACTTCTACATCTTTATAAAGAGGAAGATAATTTCTGGAAACAAAGAAGTTTCCAGTTATGGCTGTCACTACGTAACTCAAATACGGGATACTTCCATGCAGCTGCAAAAGGAAGATCAGCAAAAAACAGATTTTTGATGATTGAGAATAGAGATGGAATACTTGTCTATGAAGAGGAACATATTTCGAAGGTGATATCTTCGTTCTATACAGAACTCTTCACCTCCTCATATTCAGATAGCAGTCTTACGGTCGCCAAAGCACTAAATCTCTGCATCACAAACGCACAAAATGAGATCTTGATCAGAATTCCTCAAGTACATGAGATTATGGAAGCTACATTTTCCATAAACGGAGATACAGCTTCAGGTCCAGATGGCTTCTCAGCCAGTTTCTTCCAGTCAAATTGGACTGTGATAGGCCCAGCAGTGGTCAAGGAAATTCAACGGTTTTTCACATCAGAAACCCTAACACCGGCAAAAAAACAAAACACATGTTAGACCAATTCTGAAGATTCTGGGTGAAAAAATATTGGAAGACTACCATCCTATTTCACTATGTAACATATACTATAAGATCATCTCAAAACTACTGTCAATCAGGCTCAAGGTGGTATTAAATTCTAAATATCAGAGAATCAGTCGGCTTTCATCCCAGGAAGAGCTATATCTGATAATGTCCTACTTATTCATGAAATGCTACATTTCCTAAAGAAATCTAAAGCAGAGAAGCATTGTACAATGGCGGCGAAGACTGATATGTCTAAAGCGTATGACAGAATTGAGTGGAGTTTCATCTCAAATGTAATGGAAAGACTAGGTTGTTATACGATTTGGATTAAATGGATCATGCAATGCATTTCTACGGTATCTTACTCCTACTTAATTAATGATTCTGCCTATGGAGAAGTACAACCTTATCGAGGCATCAGGCAGGGAGATCCGATTTCCCCCTACATCTTCATTCTTTGTAGTGAGGTGTTATCGGGCCTGTGCAAAAAAGCCGGTAGA